CCCCAAAACCCCAAAACCCCAAAACCCCTCCTCTACTTTTGTACTATAAAATATTTCTTTAGTGAATAAATGGGAGATTGGAAGACATCAGGGTGAGAATTTAGGAGTTTTGTATTGGACAGCATAGGGATGGACTTCGAGGATATTCTGTATGCTTTAATGCATAGTGAAGGTTTATTGCTGGGAGATAATTCAGAGTCTTAGTTTTGGTTAAATTTGAAGAGAGTTATCATTATTACTTACAAGAACCATTAAGTTACAAGGAGTTTATATGCACACTAATCAAGCTAGATCAGCTTCAAATTGTGAATATAGAACAGATAAATATGGTCCTTCTAATTGTTCAAAGTGAATTCTTGTGCTATTATTCCTGAACGAGCAACTACTAATGTTTTAATGGCTCATTCTAGAATATTTTCTCCCTTGAATAAAATCTGTATGACAATTAGGAAGCAATGACATAATTATGCCTCTGGGAAAGTTTACTAATCTTGTGACTTACCTCTAGATTCAAGAATATCCTTTTGATGTAATCATTCATTAAAGCAAGATTTTTGGGATTTCATGTGGTGTTAAATTTTCTTTAGCTAAAGTATCGCCTCGTCTGTATCAGATGAGGAGCTTGAAAGCGTATTCTAGAAACTTATCTAGTAATAATTATAGTGTTTTGGAATAAAGGCGAAAGTAGTGGGTCTTGTAGAACTAGCAAAATTCAAATGTCTACATTCCAGAATGAATAATAATGGAAAAATTGAAGAAAATTAATTGCTCTAGAGCTAAAATTATGAGAATAAAAGAAATTAAGTTCAGTGTTTAGATCTGAAATAAGTTTTAACGAGCTACATCATTCCAAATTTCTTTGAATATGTCAGTGCATTTCGACTAGGATGTACAATCCAAAATTATGAAGGGCAATGAAATGCTAGGACAGTTTAGCATAAGCAGTGCTAACTCTCAACTCATAGAGATTGTTTAAGAAAAAATCTGCGAAGATTTTATCATCTCTAGACGAACATTTATAGAAACCACAGCTCTAAAAAGGCGGATCTCAAAATAAAATGACCGAATTTTCAGATAGGTATCACAAAAACTACCTTTCAGCCATTTGATAATCGATTAAGATTTCCTGTGGAGCTATATCATGCTTGTTTTTAATAAAATCGTAGCTTCATATGACCATGCTGCTAATTTTAATAAACCGCTTATACGAATAAGACTGAAATTACTAATAAATTTTACTTCCTGGTAATAATTCAATGTAATCCTAAATTTAACATCTGACAGGATATAATTCGCATAAATTTTAAGTCTCAAAGGAGATTATTTATTCTTTCTGCCATCACTAATAGTACAGATTATACACAGAATGACAAAAGTGCCCCAAATCATCTCAGGTCATTAAAGATTAATTGAAATTTTCTTCTAGGATGTCTGGAAAATTAATTAGTACATATTGAAAATCATCTTGGATTTAAAAATTAAGGCTCCAAAGTAGATAAGGAAGAGCCCCCCATAGGCCTGATGCTTTAGGTTTTGAAATATATCTAAAGCTGCACAAAGATTACTTCTTTGAGTGAAAGTAAATCCAAAGATGCATTTTAGTTTAGAAGTGTGCAAATCAACTTTGGATATATTTTTATTCTAATCTTCTTGTTACCAGCTTCTGAATATGTATTTGGTAGTTTAGTAGAAATATCAACGAAATGCTTGATATAAAATCCTCTATAGGTTAGTTGGGAATATCGTGAAGGAATCGAAATCTCTACGATGGAAGTGGCCAAGCTCCTCTAAATTTTGTAAGAATTTCTAACTTATAAAATCTAAAGGAGCCCTAAGATAAAATATCTAATAAAATTTATCCATCCAGATATAGATCTTCCTTATTCAATGACATAAGACTTTTAGTATGTAGACGGAGCTCTGAAGCTATGCACTATACCCTTGTCAGATTAATAATCTTAGTGACAGTACGAGAAACCTAGAGTCTGTGGATTTACAGTTGAATTCAGAAAACCCCATTGGAGTTGTGCATCTGCCTAAGAAACCTCACATAAAGAAGAACATTATGATATCTCAGGGGCTAATTATCATACCCCGAGTTCAAAGCTGGCTTTCAGGCCAAGAAATTTTATTCTTTATGGCCTTAAGTTTTCAGACTCACTAAGGTTATGAAAGTAGATACCAGAATTGCTTGGACTCAGTAGGATTAATTATAAATAATTATGCTTCGATAGACACTATATTAAGAAGATTTAGGCCATTCTGAAGCCAATCAATCAGAGTTAGGCGTCAATCTAGCAGGAGCTAAAGTCATGGACCTTTAAGTTAAAGGTAGGAATTTAACTTTCTACCATTTTCAGTATGCTATTTTGATTTATTTACCTGCAGCAATAAAATTTTGAAGCTAAAACTAATCGATATAGGTCTAATAAAAAATAAAAAGGCATCAGTGAAGATCAGGAGATAGTACTATTGATAAATTTGATAAAAATTGGCCAAAACTTCATCTTATTTGGCTTGATCTACTAATAACATTTATTCTTCCTGTTGCATATATCTTCCTAGCACGGCAACCTGAATATAACTTAATGCTTCTTAATCTAATAAGTGTAAATCTAATGATGGTTATCAATTTCCTCTAACTCTGACTTTATTAAATTTGTGCTACTTCAAGGGTGAAAAATTGTTACCATAGCATAAGCTTTTTGGTCGAAAAACTCCAGCTCGAGCCTGGGCAATGAAATTTACTCAGATCAAAGCTCTTGGACAGATATGAATTGTGGTATATTATTAAGAATTATTGATCCAATAGGAAGGCTTGCTACTTCAAAAATTTTGATTCAAATTTTTTCAAAAATAGTAATTAATACACTAGGCTAAGAAGGAAGGAATAAGTTGACCAAAGAATTTCCAGAGATGAAGACCTCCTACATTTTGCATAGTGATATCTAAGCATTCATTTATATAGATAATAACCCGATATCTTGAATCTCCAAATTCTTGAATAAATTCGTTAATATTTTTACTAAGTCACCAATTTTCTTGGATGACAAGCAGTAAATATTTTAGCAGAGAAAATGACAATAAGCATGTTTTCCAGAATATTTACCTCTATGAAACTTACTGTGGCAAGAACTTCAAAAATTTTGGTTAAGAGGACACTATTTTGTTCATAGTGAAACAATCGGAAAGCATAATTGTGAAAATCAAGCAGATTGGTGTATGCATATGACTCCCACATCCAAGAAATTGTACTGAATATAGCAAAGAGTGCTTGATAATAAGGTGCTTAAAAATAATAAAGGTAAATAAGAATTAGAGAATTAACTCTTGCAGTAAGCAAAAGTTCGATTTATAGTTATCACTCATCTTTCAAAACACTCAAAATTTCGAGATGTTAGCATTAAGATATCAGCTTTATTCATCAGTGATTCCGTCAGCTGAGCAAGACTGTATTAATTTTTACATAGAAGTCTCCCTAAGGAATTTAAAACCCTTGCATCATGTATCTAAATAAATTTGAGATTATTTCACTGTCTGAGCTATAATATTCAGCACATTTTGTGAAAGCAAAATTCATTTTTGAAGAATTACCTAGTAATACATGAAGATAATTAGATCTCATAAATGACTGCTAATTAGCAGTAATTCCGGTATTATGGTGTCCAAAGCCAGTGGGAACGATGAAGTTACTGTAAGAGTACAGTGAATCAAGCAAACCCAAAATAATCGCTAAGCTCTCTGCATTCCATAAGAGGAAAGAAGATGTAGAGCTCTTTCAAGCCAGGACCTAGAAATACCCGGCCAAGGTTTGCTTCCTAAAGGCATATATGGTATCTCCTTAAGAATACAGCAATTTTGTTAATCATTTTGAACTTTAATGAATTCATTGCACTCAAGCAAGGACTAGGTTAAACCCCAGAAATTAGGAATTATCATGCAGAGTTCTCCTCAAAAATACAAACTTTTTAAGTTCAAATATTTTTAGAGTATGTTAAATATTAATTCAATATTTGCTCCTCTAGTTGGGGTTTTGGGGTTTTGGGGTTTTGGGGTTTTGGGG